GGCGATGATGCCGTCCATGTCCAGGGAGCGGCTGTTGTCCATGGACAGCACCACGGACGTGTCCGAGATCTGAGCCTGCAGCTCACGGAGCTCCTATCACGGGGAGAAGGTGGGGAAACTCTGTCTCCGACTACAAGGAGCCCTCTAACAGCAAGAATAAAACAGCTAGTTCTTGAATGCTTCCTCCCTCCCCACTGTCATGACCTTACAAATCCAGCGAGACCAGAGAATGGACACCGATACAGACGAGAGCTCGAACCACAAGGAATCCAGGACGGATAAACCCCCAAGACCAATCATCAGAGCAGCGATACCATGAAGGGAAGGGGAAGGCATGTGTGTGGTAGGGGGAACCAATCACAAGGACCGACATATAAACCCCACCCCCCTCCTGGGGACAGACACAGAAAAGTGGGTGAAGGGAGACAGTGGCCGGTGTTAAGACATGAAAAAAATAATAATATATGAATTGGCAAGGGATCATGAAGGAGGGAAAATGAGCTGATACCAAGGGCTCAAGTAGAAAGAAAATGTTTTGAAAACGATGGTGACAACAAATGTAAAAATGTGTTTGACACAATGGATGGATGGATGGATGGATGGATACGTAGAAAATGTTTTGAAAATGGTGGTGACAACAAATGTAAAAATGTGTTTGACACGATGGATGGATGGATGGATGGATGGATGGATGGATGGATGGATGGATGGATACGTAGAAAATGTTTTGAAAATGATGGTGACAACAAATGTAAAAATGTGTTTGACACAATGGATGGATGGATGGATGGATGGATGGATGGTGATAAGAGCTGTAAGACCCCACAATAAAATAATTTTTAAAAGGCCCCCAAGACTGAGCCCACAGAGGGATCCAATGGGGACCGGAAATGAGGGACTTTGAGAATGGAGGAGGAGCCTGCGTTTGCAGCGGGGATCACCACTTTGTGGATGGCAGCCCCGGGCAAGTTCTTCCGAGCCTCCAAGCCTGCTTCCTCTTCCGTGAAATGAGGCAAGGGCCCTGGTCTCAGACAGAGGGGGAGAGCCAGGGGAGCACCCACGCTGTCATGGGAACCCTGTCTGTTCATGTGCTGAGATCCAGCGGGAGGAACATACCTCTTCATGCAGCTGCCTGAGGAAGTTAATCTCATCCGTCAGCCCCTCCAGGCGGGACTCCAGCTCCACCTTGTTCATGTACGCT